CTAACACTCCTACGGTGTGCATGCAACCCTATGTGCCTTAGATCTATGTTTTCACTATTATACATGCAAAAAACACAAAATTCCAAAGCATCATCCTAACTAGCATGTTATGGAGAAACTATACTACAAGAGTCTAGTTAGATGACATACCTTTTGATGGAGCTTGAAGTCTTGAACCTTTAAAAGCTTAGCCCCAATAGTGTGGAAGCCTCAAATGGTATCACAAATCACCAAAACAACTTGGAAAGCTTGAGAGAATAGTATACACTTGTTCAAAATCGGCTATGCCCTCTTTCTTCACACTCTAGTACAATTTCAAGTGCCAAGGACCTCTTTATATAGTATGGTGGATTAGGGTTACATCCATGTAAACCCTAATACCCATGACCTTTCATTTCCATAGGATCCATGGGTTAAAATCTCTATGGACTATCCATGCAAGCTTAGCCCATCCTAAATGAACATTGGCCCATTCTATATATATATATATATATATATATATATATATATATATATATATATATATATATATATAAGAGTTCATATTTAATTAGTCTCTTTTTGATCACTAAATTAATTCCAAATTAATTCTTGATCAATACTAATTAAATAATATGATTTCATATTAATATATTATAACTTATAATATATTAATAAACCTTAGACATAATATTCTCAAAATACTATCCATACAAATTGTTCCGGTGAAGTGCAACCCAAATGAACCATGCTACTCTCGGGTCGAGTACATACCAATAATAGTTATGGGCTTAGACATCTAATCCAACATAATGAGCCATCAGTCTGACTGGACCGTCTCCCAGTCCTCAGTCTATCTAGACCGCTCTCCGAGCCCTCGGCACGTCTGGACCGCCTTCCTCGGGGCCTACAGCCTATCCGGACCTCTCGTCGGGCCTTCGGCCTCTGACTAATTTGCCCAGCCCGGGCCTGCAGTCTATCTGGTTCGCCCTGGGTGTCTTGGCCTACAGCACACAGCAAGACTTGCCTCAACCCAATTCCCCAAACCAACAAACATGTGCACATAAATATCATACGCTATCATGCAATAACAGATAGTCATACAGATCCAACAGATCACTAACATGGCAACCATCCTATAACCAGGATACCGATCTAACCGATCTCTAACATAGCAACCATCATACAACTAGGATATCAATCTAACAGATTACTAGCATAGAAACCATCCTAAAACCAGTATGAAATCTAACAGATCAATAACATAGCAACCATCCTAAAACCAGGATGCAAATCATAAAGGATCGGCCTTGGTGCCGTAGACCATGTTGATATAGTGAGGAGAACTCACCTCTCAAGTGACGAATCGGAGTGATATCAAACTCTCGAACCATGGCCACGAACTCCACCACATATATTTACCATAAAATTATTTCCATAAATTTCCAATTTACCAAAATACCCTAGAAGTCAACTAGTCAATCCTTGGTCAAAGTCAAGGTCAACGGTCAAGGTCAACAGTCCATGTTGATCCGACTCGTCGAGTGCAGTTCACCGACTCGTCGAGCCCTTCCTGAACTCGAGAAGTCATGAAATACCTGGTTGACTCGTTGAGTTTCCTTGCAACTCGCTGAGTTCATGCATGTCCAAAAGTCGGGAAAACCCTAGCTGAATCGCCGAGTCACTCTACTGAATCGCCGAGTCCATGCAGAAATCCTTGCACGACAATCTTCATCGGACTCGCCGAGTTGGTCATGCAACTCGTCGAGTCCCTTCAGTCCTTTCTCCATCCAGACGATTTTTAAGCCACTTTAAAGCTCCATAATGCAGATCTAAGCTCTTAAGGCATACATCTTACGTAAAGTTGCAAACTTTACGTACATGCAAGGTGATAATGGCCCAAATCAAGCTAAAGAAAGGTTCTATGGGATGAAGAAGGTATTAACTCACTAAAGGCTGAAACTTTATGATCTTACAGACCAAGATAATCCTAGATTTGACGTTGCAACTTCAGATCACGCCTAATACCCAAAATAACATACCAACATTGCCAAAGTGGCCCTAATCTCATACATGCATAGATCTATATAGAAGAAGGTCAAGGTAACCACTTGTTACCTCAAAAACGGTGCTAAGATGAAGAAGAACTTGGATCTACAGCCTTCATCTTGTTCCAAGCTTGAGTACTTCAAGATCTTCCTTCCACAATTCACCACACGGCTTAATATCACACAAAAAGAGAGAAAAACGGTGATTTAGGGTTTCTGGACTCACAAGGGTCTGTAAGGGGAGGCTAAGGGGGCAAAGGATGCTTTAAATAGGGTGCAAAACCCCGGGGATTAGGGTTTCTCATTCCAGCTCCAACTCGCCGAGTCGGGTTCACCGACTCGTCGAGTTGGTCACTTAAACTACGTGGCCAAACGCGTCCATACTCAACGAGTCTACGCACCAACTCATCGAGTAGATCTTCTGATATATAGACATAAAAATGTAAAGATATATACCTGGGAGTCGGGGTGTTACATCAAAGTTAAAAGTTCAGCACTTTACCACTTGGACAATTCAGTACTTGTGTTTAATTTTCACAACATCATAATATAATAGGTATAATTCGTATAAAGCTATATAAAAGGAGATGTGAAAATAAAAGAAAAAATATGTTTGAAAGAAGATTTTGAACTTACAACCTCCAAAAACACTCCCTAACGCATTAACCATCTAAACCAACCACAACTTTTGTTGATATCTCGCTAAACATATATATATATATATATATATATATATATATATATATATATACACACACACACACACATACTACATAAAACCAAATTTGTAACATCCATAAAAAATCATGACAAATTTAAACTTTTTGAAACCAACCAAAATCATAATTGTTTACAATGTAGTTTTCAAAACATGTTTAATATCATAGTTTTCCTAAAATCATAAAATCAAAACACGAGGAGGTGCACAATCACGCCTTCGCCTTCCTGCGATCATGTGAGGTACCTGAAACATAACCCAAAACTGTAAGCCCCAATGCTTAGTGAGTTCCCCCAAAATACCAACACAACAAATAACACATATACAATAACAACATGCAATGGGTCCACATCTAACAGATTGGATTACTACTGAGCCCACAACATAAGTTTGGCTTGCCCTCGACCCTCAGCTTATGTATGGCTTGCTCCCCGACCAGATCAGTCCCTGGACTAATTACCACTGGACCCTCAGTACAAGTTTAGATTGCCCTACCGGACCCTCAACTCGTATTTGGAATGCACATGAGCCCTCAGTATGAGTCTGGCATGCCCTACCCGACCCTAAGCTCATATATGGATTTCTCTAGGGTTTGTTGGCTACCGCACGAAGCAGTACAACCTCAACCCAACCCACACAATATTTTGACATATAACAGATAAGATCATATACATATAATCATACAAACAATATCATAAGTAGTCCTACAGATCTACCAACTAGCATATCAGAACTAGCATGCATATCTAGCCATACTCAGCATACCAACAAATATTGGGTTATCAAACCAATGGGACGGCCTTGGTGCCTTCGACCCGTAAGTACAATGAGGAAAACTCACCTCGCAAAATGAACATAATTGATGAGGCCCGACTCTGAATCTCATCTCTCTATACAATACCTATATCCACCAAGTGACCAATTCCATCAAAATCTCAGAATACCCAAAATGCCCTCAAAATCAAACTTGGTCAAAGTCCAAGTCAACTTGTGAAAGTCAACTGGTCAAACCCACTAAACCAACTGAGTCAACCTAGCCGAGTCAATTTAACAAGGGCTGACTCATGCGAGTACGCGGGGTGTAACTCAGAGGTACGCTTAGTGTACGTGAAGCCTCGCATTGACCAGCTTACGGGGTGGCTGACCGAGTACGTGGGGTCTACTCCCACCTACGCAGGGCGTAACCTCGCAACTTCAAAACTTAATTAAGTGCTTAATGGCTTAAGCATTCAAGCCTATACTTCAGATCTACGGTCCAAATGCACCCTAGATTCATAAAGTTTCCAACTTTATGACTTTACACGTCTATAAAGTCCTTAACACAAGGTCTTAATTCATTAAGACATTCTACATGATGCATAGAGAAAATCTAACCAAAGGGACTCCATTTTTATGACTAAGGACCCCTCCTAGGGTCTGAAATGACAACTTAAAACCTCCAGAACATGTCATGCTCAATATGAGACTTTTGGTCCCAAAAAGTAACATAAAACACCCAAAATGAGATCTAGAAAACAAGCCATCAAGGTATGAACTTTATACCTTGAGATGATGGAGAAAGGAGCAAAACTTCCAGATCCAAGCCTTGCTTCAAGCTTCAAAGCTTTGACACCACCTGCTTCTTCTTATGGAGCACTCACAAACTCACACTCAACCTTCCAAGGGCTCAAGAGAGGCTAGGGTTGCAAGGGATATCGACTTATGCTAATGGAGGCTGAAAAGTAGGGAGGAAATGAGACTTAAGGATGTTTAAATACTTACCAAACCCTAAAAATTAGGGTTTCCACTTTTAGGACGTACGCCCAGCGTAGTAGGGCGCGCCCTAGTACACTTAGCGTACTCCGAAGCCATAATGACCATAATGTCATTAAGGCCCCTTATACTTATACTCTTGAACTTTAAGACCAAATGCAATATAATTAAATTAAAGGACTGGAGATAGGATTACCTTGACATCAGGATGTTACAAAATTTTTCTACAAAAATTACAATACTAAATTTTTAATAGGGGCATCCTGGGATCTATTGTGGGTCCGACCATGGTAGGTGTCATACCACACTTACCATATTTTTGCAATGTCATGTTATTTTTTTGTCTCACCCCACAAAACTGGTTGGTGTCATACCACACCTACCACAATACACATTTTATGCATGAAGTACAACATTTGAAGGAGTGCTTTTTTTCCCGTGCGATAAAATTGTAACACAATGTATGCATACCACACTTTTGTTGGGGGGGGGGGGTCGGTGCGATGTTTACAGCATATCACACTATACCGCGGTATGCTGTAAAAGGTGCACCACATGGTCTCATTACCACCATTCACCACCACAACCACCCATGTCTACTAGTCACCACCACCAAGAAACTTTTCTAAAATCATATTCAACCTGCAACAAATTGATTTAAAACCTCACGTAAAAAGGGAAGAGAGATAAATATATATGGTAGGGTTGTTTCATAAAATAACAGGAGGGAGGGAGAGAGAGAGAGAGAGAGAGAGAGAGAGAGTAGGGGTAGTAAGGGAGGAGTGGAGTTTTCACCGAAGAGTATGCTTTGGAACACTTTTAAAAATTGAACATGTAAAATGATGTTTTCTCTATATTTGGAATTGTGTTGGTTGGAGAAGAAGCATGGAAAATTGATAATGACCGGAAAAGATAAATGTGATTAAATGTTTATAAAAGTTAGTTTAATAGTAATCTATATATAAAAATGTAAGTTTAATGGTGTTTCTTGAACAACAAATATAAGTTTAATGATGTTTTTTTGACATGTACACCGAATAGATATAAAATAGTTGGTCAAAATTATATTAATTAAACAACAAAATATAATTTAATGACAAATCATGTACAAACAATTAAAAAAATAAAAATGATTAAATATGTTAAACAAATGACAATGCATTACACTATAATGTCATGTTCATTAATATCATTTCAAGTTACATATTAGCCCTTTCTATTATAAAATATACACTTTATACATTCTTTTTTGTTAATTTTTATAGATTCATAACAAAATTTGAATATGCATCGCAAAAACACACAACAAGAATATAAAACTATTTTTTTTAACCACTTGGGTTGTGGTGACTTGGTAAGGCATGTGGAAGATATGGTGGATAACCTATTGACCCATGTTCAAATCCTGACACTACTCAGCCCTTGTAGTCATGGAGGTTCGCCTGCAGTGACTCCAGGGCATGAGGCAAAGCCTCATGTTTGCAGCGGGAGATTAGTCGGTGCGCGAAAGCTGGCCCGGAAACCCTCGTTAGGGAAGTTCCCTTTCCAAAAAACTATTTTTTTTGTATTATTATTTCATATATAAATGATAAATTAAATAAATGAATACAAATATGAGACCTATTTATAAATCTTCAAGAGATTTATAAATACCTAAGATAAGTTTATAAAAATTAAAATTTTATATATTGATAATGGGACATGATACATATTCAATGCTAAGAAATGGAGATGCTCTATCTTTATAAGGATTTTCAAGACACAGTAATATCTTAACAAAACCTCCCTCAAATTAAGAAAAGAAAAAGGAAAAATCAAGGGAAATTAACCAAAATTTTGGGGAAAATATACGTATACGTATTCAAAACTCCATATTTTGTCTTGTAGTGGTGGAGGTGAAATACAGCTTTCCGCAACACATCATTTCCACCATCCCTAATTCCCTAATCCCTCCCCTTCCTCTCTCCCTGGTTTTTGGTTTCTTCTTTATATATATACCAAAATGTGCAGCTTCTTTTCCTTTTATCATCTCATAAGAAATAAACTCAAATTGTTATATTATTATTATATAATACATATAATCCAAGAATTTCACACAGATACCACATTCAATCCCTTCTCATATCATTCATCCAGGTTCGTCATTTTCATATTCCACTTTTTTTTTATTAACTTTACAATATGTAGATTCATAATTCATTATTATTGTTTGAGTTCATAAATTTCAACTATTAGATTCTTTCATTCATCTCATTTAGCGTCGTATAGACGTGTTACAGTAAATAATCTCCAATGATTGAATGAATAAATTATATAGAATCCTGTAATATCGGAATTATGAATCAAATGAACGTATTATGAAATCTGTTATCTCGGAGATTACGATTTGGTAGGAATCGGAGAATCAACAGAGATTGTTTCTTTCTATCTTGTTTGATTCTATTAATTATTTACATTTTAATATCTAAATTATTTCGTATCTTAACTAATTCCGGTATTTCGTAATTGAACTCGCTAATAACCTTATTATTAACCAAAAAAAAACATTATTCTTTTTTATTATATATTTCTAATTTTATAGGATCTTTTTTAGTATGAGTATTTTTATATGTCGTTCTCATATATAGTAAACGCTAACCATAAATTGTTAACAATTATCAGGTACTTTTAGTCTTTTACTGATAATCAAGAATTTTAAAAGTATTATGATGCTCTAATCAATGTTTTTATAGTATCCTAATTAAGTCAAAGTTGACGATTATTGATCTGTAAATCGAAAAAGATAAATCTCTAAATACAATCATCCAAAAACTAGTATAATAATGAACAAGGATCGATAACCAAAAGGCTGTAGCTCAAGTTCGTAGTTTTAAGAGTTTTAGTATTTAAAAAAAAAACTAATATCCCAAAGGCTATTTCAAATAGTTTTTAAAAGTATTTATCTTTTTATATATATATATATATATATATATATATATATATATATATATATATATATATATAATCTAACACATTTTAAAAACTTATAGTGTACAACTAAATTCAACTAAATATTCGTTCAAAATAAGGAGGTAGATTTAGATTTGATGATTCACGTGCATGGACAACCCTTGTCGTTACATGTTTACTTTTATTTAATTAATCAAGCAAATCAAACTCTAGACTATACATGCACTGGATCCCATATTCCTTAAAATAACGAAGTAGATGCAAATCTTTTGGTAATTGATTGGCTTTTTTGCTTATGAAATAATGATCGATAATCGATTTTCATATTTTAACTTTAATTAACTTAACATTTATTGAGTCACCCTCATGATCATTAATCTTTTTCTTTTAGTTTGTCCATTAATTTTTTTAGGATGTCCAAATAGATTTGTTTATCTAAATCATTAAAAATGTATTTTTTTTAATTACAAATTAAATTGACAATTATAGTCGCATAAATTATCACTATTATACAATTAGAAAACTAAAAACCGGTACTTTTAGTAGTTTACCTCTCAAATTCTCAAAATGAAACAATATATATATATATATATATATATAATATATATATTATATATATATATATATATATATATATGTGTGTGTGTGTGTGTGTGTGTGTGTTTGAGTATTTGACTTATATAGAGGTAGGCTTAACAAACTGGTCTGCCCTATGCAACTGATGCTTGTCATGTACTAGAAGTTTTATAAAATGTAATACATTTTAATAGTTTTGAATATTACAACTATTTATTAATTTGTCGTCATAAAAATAATAAAATTTCATAATATACTTAGAATATGTTTAATCAATGATTATATATTCTTTGAAGTTCTATCGATTGTACTTTTAATACATTGAACTAAAGGGGATATTTGGTTAGTGATAAAGCGTGTTGAAAAGATTATACTTTTACAAAACAAATTAAACTTGTGTTTTATTAGGATTTGAAATACTAACTCGATTAAATATGATTAGTCAACACAATTACTTTAAACCATGTTTAAAATCAAGTTCACAAATTATAGCAGCTATTCACAGATTTTTTTAAAGTTCATTTTGGTTTTGACAAACATAAATACTTTCGTTCTGTATCAAGTTTTTTACTTTTAAAAAAAAATATAAATACATATAAAAATAACAAATTGCGTATTTTTCTACAACTTTGCATGTTACTTCGATCAATTAATTTGATCAATTATTTCTGGATGTCTGTATCAACTCGTCTAGTAACACCAAATTTCTAAAATAAAAGACTCCAAGAATAAGTTGTAGATTATTATTATTATTATTATTATTATTATTATTATTATAATAACTAAAATTTGCTGATAAATCTATTCATTTAAAACAGTTATATATGAGATCTGTATATTACACTGATTTATTAAAAATAAAAATTTAATACAAAGTTGTAAGCATTACGTATTTTTTAAAATAATACTTTTATATAAATATAAAAGTTGTAATGAATAAAATAAGTAATTCAATATATATATATATATATATATATATATATATATATATATATATATATATAAAATGACATTGATCTATTTAACATATTTAAACCTTTAGAAAAAAAACGATTATAAATATTTATTCTGAAATTTAATACAATTATCTATTTGAGAAAATATGGATTTTAAATTTAAGTAAATGAAAAACACAAGAACACGTAAGTGGAAAAGAAATTCTAAAAATTCTAAAAAATAACATGTGTTATATTCAATGAAAACATGACATTTGAGAATAAATGATTTTAATTTATTATGTTGAATTTAAAATTCTTGTAAAAAACTACAATGCAAAAAAGTTTTAATTTCTAAGTCATAAATAACACAACTATGAACTACAATAAAAAATAAACAAATAAAAAATAAAATAGATTGGAACAAAATATCAAAGTTATGTGAGAAGTAATTAATTAAAGGGGTATAGTTTTATTTTTTTTAGTACTATGTTTTTGTTGTCGTTACCTCTAATATATTTATTCTTTTTTATGGACCACAAAAACAGCAGCCTGTACTTCATTTGTTATTTTGTTATAATATAAACTTGTCGTTTTGAGGTACATTAGAAATATGGAATGATTTTTATAATAATATTTAGATCTTGATATATACATTATATTTTACCCGGCCAACTAAGGTTTTGCATAGAGCATTAGGTATGGGCCCGTTGAGGTGGTGTTATAACACCTTATAACACCAAAAGGGAAATGATGTTTATGGTGTTATGACCATGTTATGAAGAGGTTAATAGGAAAAAAATAGAGAGAGAAAAAATGTGCAGCCAATCAATGTTCCCGTTTCAATATGTCATAACGTCAACAAGATATATTATAACACCAAAGGGGAAATGGTGTTCATGGTGTCATGACCATGTTATGAGATGTCATATCAGCAAAAATATCACTTATGGTTGACCATACCATATGCTTTTAGCATTTTGTTTTGTGTCGCACTAGAAAAATATTTTTATTTCAATCTAAACGTGTCTATTATTTTTAATAGCATAAGACAATTAAAAATTCTTTTACATTCTTTTTCTATCCATAAAAACTTAAATATTCTCTTACATTTTTTTTTCTATTCATGTTAAATGTTGACATGTCTCATATTTAATGAAATTAATAATATTTTAGTACATTTATCATTATTTAACATGGACATGAAGATAGGTAGTAAGAAAATGTATAAATGATATTATTGGTAGGAAAAATGATGGTGTAGGGTATTAATTACAAATTTTGTATATATTTAATTATTTTTTATACTTTGTATATGATTTACTATTAAACTAACATTTATCGTTCAAAAAAAATATTATGTAGATCAGCTATTGCATGTCTAGCCGATTTATTTGTTCAAAACTATTATTAAACTCATATTTTGTGTTCAAAGAAAGACCATAAAGTTTATATTTGTGTACATAATTCACTATTTAACTAACTTTTGTACATATTCGCCACTTTCAATCTTTTTCAGTTATCATCAATTTTCCGATCATCTTTCTTAAGCCAATACAATTCCAAAAAAGAAAGAAATCATAATTTTACATGTTCTTTTTTTTTAGAAAAAAAAACATTGCAAAGTATAGAGTTTTTTCCTGCTCATCCCCGATGAAAACACTCTCATCCCTTCTCTTTATTACCACCAACATCCCTACTACCGATGCTCACACATTTGCATGTTTCTCTTCTTCTCCTACAATTTTGTGAAAACCACTCTCTCTCTCTCTCTCTCTCTCTCTTTCTCATCATGAGCCACGTGTAACCACCCCCGTTCAATGATGCAAAAGGGTGTTTGTTGCTAGAGGTGGATGTTTGTCGTGACGAATGATGGTGATGGAAGGTGATATTTGTTATTGGAAGTGGATATTGGTGGTGCGAGATGTAAAAGTGGATGATGTTGGCCGAAAAAGATGAGTGAGATATAATTTAATGATAAATCATGTATAAAAAAGTTTAATGACAAATCATATACAAAAAATATATTAACCTACGCGGGTAAATTGTAGTTTTGAAAAATTCAGATGAATTTAATGATAAATTATGTATAAAAAATAAGAAAGTATATACGAAAAATATTAGTTTGTTACCTGCAAAAAGTCATTTTCCCTTGTATGTACCATAATTTGTCTTTCTATAAGATTATTTATATGTACTATAAGTTGTCTCTTTATAAGAACCGGTCCTAGTTTAAACAGGAAACGTTGTAAATTTTACTTTTGGTTCGTGGGTATATTTAATTTTTTCAATTATAAGTATCAAAGTTTTCACTTGCAAATTTAGTCCTTATTTGTTATTGTATGAAAGGTTTTATTCTCCATCCGAGTAAAATAACTACATCTAAGGAACCAAGATTGAAAACTCAGTTATACTTAAGGACCAAGCTTGCAAGAACCTCAAACTTATGAGCAATATTAAAAAAGAAAACTTTACAAGAACGCAATTTTATGACCAATATTGATTAGATATAATGAGGGGGGAAACTGTAAGAAATATATATAACGAGGGGTAAAACTGTAATTTACTCTAGGAAAAAAAGGACAAGATTATCTCCCTTTCACACACATACCACACTTTCTCATCCCCTTCCCACGTTCATTACACTTTTTCCCTCTCCCTTCACGCCGTTTTGTTAAAAACAACCCCACAAATCTAATCATTTCACTATTCATTTTCACAGGAAAATCAAGAAACAGAAAAAAAAGGGTTAAAAAGGTGGAACTGTGGGAGTGTTATGTATGTTTCACGAAGTACAAATACGAGAAATACGTGTCTTTTGTATGTAAAAAGACCATTAAATCCCTATTGTTTTTAACAAAAATAATATCAATAGACACCAAGTGTAGACTGGTATTTCTTTTCTTTTATACAGCCCCTTACGCACACTTATAAAAGACAAACGACAACATCAACATTTCATCACATAACAAATATCAAGATTAAATCAATTCATCAAAAAGAAATTTATAAAAATGGGCTTTTGGACACTCTTCGGGGTGGCATCAATGCCAATAGTGCAAGTCTTAATAGTGAGTGTCATAGGAGCTTTAATGGCTACAGATCACTTCAATCTTCTTTCCAACGACACTCGTCGCTCCCTTAATAAGGTATTTTTGTTATCTGTTAATTGATTTTTTTAATAAATAAAGTTCATACATTAAAATTATATTAATAACGCATTTATCCTAATAATCGAATTAATAACGTATGCAGATTGTCTTTGTGGCTTTTACACCATCTCTTGTTTTTGCAAGTCTTGCCGAAAGTGTCACCTTTCGAGACATAATCTCATGGTATATATAACATGTTTTGTTACATAAATAATTTATTAGCTAATTAATTAATTTTCTATATATAAATATTGTAATTCTGGATTGTTTTAGGTGGTTTATGCCTATAAATATTGGATTAACATTTTTGTGTGGAGGAATATTGGGATGGATAGCAGTAAAACTAATCAAACCAGCAGCACATATGGAGGGCCTAATCATTGCAATGTGTTCAACTGGTAAGTTACCAAACATGCATACATGACAACAATAGTCCCTAAACTATACATAAAAGACAACAATAGCCCCTTATATACTTACTTATACATAAATGACAAAATCGTACCTTAAGTATGTATAAACAAGAAAAAGACTCTCTAGAGTAGTAATGATAAAAACACTCCCTTAACTATACAAAAATGGCAAAAATAGTCCGTTAACTATTTATTTTTTTAGGCAACTTGGGAAACATCCTTTTAATAATCATTCCGGCAATCTGCACTCAAAGTGGAAGTCCTTTTGGAGATGGTAACGTTTGTAAAGCTAATGGGCTCTCATATACATCATTTTCTATGGCAGTAAGTCTTTTTTTTTTTTTTTTTTTTTTTTTTTTTTTTTTTTTGCTTTTTAAATTACTTGCTTCTTGTGATAATTGCATTTTAATTTAATTAAATGATGTGGATTTAAATTTCTGTAGGCGGGTTGTTTCTATATATGGACATATACATACCAATTAATTAGAAACTCAGCTGTGAAGTACAATGAAATGAAAAAGTCGGAGGATTTATTGATCAAGGATATAAACAAAGACTTCAATGCAAATGAAACAAGTCATCTCTTATTAAATGAAGGTCAAGCGCACGTTGATCCAGAAAATCCAACTGTGAGTTTCATATTTGATTATTTGTTGTTTAACATATTAAAGAAAGAGTTATCCACAAAAAATGACCACATTAGGATCTCCCATATTAGTAGTTATTACATAATTACAATTTTATGTACTTTAAGAAAATGACCAACAACCTAGTAAAATAAGCCTTCCTTTTTAGCGATATACACTTCCTAAGGGTGAACATTTGGACCTCCGGACCTGGTAAACATCAACAGGTCCGGTCCAAGGTCCATCAATTTCTGCAAAACAGGTTCGGTCCAAGAGCCAGTCCAAATGCTCACTTTTACGTCCAAGAATCAGGAATCAGATCTTGACCTGGTAAGCCTAAACAGGTCAGGTGCAAGGTCCACTAATTTCTGTAAAACCGGTCTGGTTTGATCCAAATGTTCACCCCTAACACTTATACTGTATAAGATCATTTTTGTTAATAACTCTTAAATAAATCTTATACATACTCGGTTTATATGTAGATGGTGTACAAAGATCTAGCCAACAATGAGAGAAAAGAAGGGTCTTTCTCTAGACTGATAGAAACTTTACAAAATATTTTGGAAGAGCTATTAGCACCTCCAACAATTGGTGCTGTAAGTTTGTAATTATTTTTGTGTATATCACTTCATGTTATATATTTTCATTGTTATAATATTATTTTTATCAATTACACGTTATTATCAGATTGCAGGATTCATTTTCGGTGCAGTTCCATGGTTGAAAAAACTATTGATTGGTGATGAGGCTCCATTACGAGTGATCGAGGACTCTATCGCGTTACTTGGGTATGATTTATCATGAGTTATAGTTATTAAATCTTATATTTACGGGTTAATTAATGTCACATCATTCTGAGTATATATAGCTTCTTACCAACTTTTTTATGATAATTTAGGGATGGAACAATACCTTGTATCACACTTATATTAGGAGGAAATTTGATACAAGGTACGGAAAAAAATGAAAGAAATTAAACTAAGTTATATGTTTATGGATTGTAAATTCTTTGTTGATTATTTTTTACAGGTTTGAGAAATGCAAACATAAGATATGTTACCATCATCACAATTACTGTGATCCGATACTTGATTCTTCCTGTAATTGCAATTGGAGTTGTTAAAGGTGCTGGCGCTTTGGGATTACTTCCATCTGATCCTCTTTTTAGTTTTGTGCTCATGATCCAGTTTGTTGTGCCACCTGCCATGAATATCAGTAAGCCTTTCTTTGAAGCAAAAATGAATTTTTTAGACATTTTATATTTGCAAATTCATTGAATTAGTATGTGTGTAACAAAAAATTGTGCATGCATTTAAATCTTTCATCATATGGAAAGTATGCATTAGATAATTACAAAAAATCCATTGATTAAATTTCATTTAAATCTTGCATCGTGTGCATGTATGTAGGTACAATGACACAATTATTCAATGTTGCACAAGAGGAGTGTTCGGTGCTTACGATGTGGACTTACGTTTTCGCAACATTTGCACTTACTGGATGGTCAACGGTCTTCATGTGGATCTTGACTTGAAACTTGAAAAATCATTTTTGGGCTTTGGTCGATTCAATTCATAGGATCTTAAAATTTATTTTGTAATTTCTACAAAATTTTGCTCAATTATTGGATTCTTGTGCTTCCAAAAATACGTTTCTAATTCTTTGTTGGACTTAAAGATCACTACCTCAACTCTTGAAGATTCAAAGCAAAAAGATCATTTGTGTAGTTTTGAATTGCAATTGTTTATTATTATGTAGCAAATAATATACTAACCAACATATTATTAAAGTTATTCTCTTTTAAGTCGATCAAATTAAAAAAACAAAATTTAAGATATTAAACTTTTATATTTTTCAGTTTTTGGGTAAATAACTTCTAAATTTGAGATTGATTTGGAAACCATCTTTGACAACTATTGACCAAAATCGAAGAAAAAAAAAGTGTGAACTACCTATAATAAAGATAGGATTAATGAAAAGCCTTGTTTGATTTTAAACGAATAATTGTGAAATTTTGATGTTTTTTTTTGTCATATGATTGAGTTATGAAACTATACCAACATTAATTCTATCTTTATTCAAGGTACCAAAATCATTATAACAGTGGAAAATATGAACCAAAATTATTGAAGAAAACTATAAATACCAAAACTAAATTTTTGAATAAACCTACTGACAGAAATTCTTACTTTGATCCGCAAACACCGACAATTATTTTAGAACAACTTACATACTCACATTTGTATCTCAGCAACATCTGATATCTCGTTACTCGTTAGACTATCACTAACATGTGCTATTTAAACAGGTTTTTAGATTATATGTCACCTAAATTGATATAAAATTACAAATGTTAGTTATTGTAGATAATAAGGTCAATGAAAATTAACTTATATAATAAAACTATTCACTTGGCTCTTCGGATTTCCAAAGAAAAAATTGGTTGATTCTTAATTAAAATTAACTTATATAGTACACAATTACAAAATAAAACAGTAACACGTAACAACAATACAATTAACAAATAAGAATAATCAATAAAATACTGTGAGAAGTCCATTCCCCACAACTCAAATTCTTTTCTTCTTCCTTCTTCCTATTATTGTAATTATTATTCAAATAAAATAAAATCTGAACAACGATGACATGAAGAGGCAAGATATATCGTCTTCTTCCTATTATTGATGATCTTAAAGAGGCAGAGACATCATCAGTCTCACTCTTCTAATTTCCATTATTCCATCTTCATCTATCGCTCTCTATGCACACAATATGTAATTTTTAATTGTTAAGTTCAAATTTTAATTGAGAGGGAAAGTAATCAAAATGGGATTTTGGGGACTGTTGGTGGTGGCATCGATGCCGATACTGCAGGTGTTGATCGTAAGTGCAGTCGGAGCTTTCATGGCTACTGATTACCTCAATCTACTTCCCAGCAACACTCGAAACTCACTTAACAAGGTAAATTTCATCTCTTATTTATCATCACAATTCATACATACATGTTAAACCCGATCCAGGATCCCAATTTCTAGGGTTTCCACTTTCAAAAAAACTTAGTAGAATTAAAATTGAATTCTAGGTGGACACTAGTAATAAATTTGCTCAATGTTTTCAGATTGTGTTTGTGGTTTTCACGCCTTCACTTATATTTGCAAGCCTTGTGGAGACTGTCACCTTTGAAGACATCATCTCAATGTAAAATCTTTACTCCTTTCCTTCTAATAACAGCATTATACATCTATTTTATAAACAGATATTAATTCGTAAATGTTGTAGAATCCTGTTAACGTGGTTTAGTTTATTTTTATAGGTGGTTTATGCCAATAAATATAGGAATAACATTCATATGTGGAGGAATATTGGGATGGATAGCAATAAAACTAATCAAACCAAAGCCTCATTTAGAAGGCCTCATCATAGCTATGTGTTCAACAGGTAAAATTTGGGTATTATTATTCATCTTCATCTTCATCTTCACCATTTAACATTGTTTCTTTTTATTTTCTAATCTTTTCACTTCCAATTTTCATGAAAAATTAGGAAACTTTGCAAATCTTCTATTGATAATGATTCCTGCAATCTGCATGGATGATGGCAGCCCATTCGGTGATCATGGCATCTGTAAAGCTAAGGCTCTCTCTTATGCATCATTCTCCATGGCTGTAAGCATTCACCATTAGTCAAATGTCTAAAATGCTCTTCAAAGAAAACTCATAATGTATGTTTGAATTTTCATCTAGTTAGGTAGTTTCTACACATGGACATGTACTTATCAGATGATCCAAGCCTCAGCTTTGAAGTACAATGCTATAAAAGAAATCGATAAGTTCTCAAATTATTCAGATCAAAACACTCATCTTCTCAATAAACAAGATGATGATCATATCAATACAATCATGCCTTCATCAAGTTTGACTAGTCAAGATACAGAAAACCAATGTGTAAGCTTCATTACAATGATTACATAGCTTGAATCTATCACAATTTAAATGTTTAAGAAAAGAAATATTATCATCCACAATCTTTCTGCAGATTGTGAAGAAAAAAGATGGGTCAATTTCAGATCAATTAGTGGAAATAATAAAGAAAATAGTAGAGCAGTTACTAGCTCCACCTACCCTTGGCTCTGTAAGTGTAAAATTTCCATCCCACATAAATTCAAGGACCAATTGGTAATTAACCATAAGTAGTGGGTTAAACTCGTAATATTCTTCTACTTATACAAAAAATAATAACCTTTAACTAGTTTGCAGGACTAATTATTGGGGCAATCCCATGGATAAAAAATCTTTTAGTAGGTGAAAAAGCTCCTTTACGTGTGATTCAAGACTCCATGACATTACTCGGGTACATATTAATTAACTAACATTATTAAATCTTTAAAACATAAGATTTTGTGAAAATTTATGATGTTTTTTTTAATGATGTTGTCATATATATATGATATAGGGATGGAACCATACCTTGTTTGACTCTTATACTAGGAGGCAACCTCACACAAGGTACTTTTAAGTTTTAAATAATAATACACTTTAAAAAAATGGATTTTTTTTTATATACGGTTGGATTTTAAATGATGAAATTGTTGATAGGTCTAAAAAAGGCGAGTGTGGGGCCCACAATCATTATCACGATTATGATAGTGAGGTATTTGATTCTTCCTGTTGTTGGGATTGGTGTGATAAAAATGGCTACAAATATGGGATTGGTTCCGGTGGACCCGCTCTTCAGATTCGTGTTGTTGATAATGTTTGCTCTGCCACCTGGCGTCAATATCAGTAAGCCCAAATATGTAGGAAATAGCAACGTACTTTATAATTATTTACTTAAAAATAGCAACATAAATGGATTTACTTACTTATAATAGCAATGTGTAACAAATAGAGTAAAATGGCCATATTGGTAGGAAAATGTAAGTGGTGTTTGACTTTTGAAAGTCAAACATATTATTTATTTTGACTTATTGTTTTATGGGAATAGTTATATGAAAAATGTAGGTACAGTGGCTGAGTTGTTTGGTGTTGGGCAAGAAGAGTGTGCGATGTTGATGATGTGGACTTATTTGGCTGCTGCTTTTGCTCTTACAACTTGGTCGTCTGTTTACATGTGGATTTTATCATGAAATTTTTGTACGTTAAAAGGTTGTTCCTTTGTTCTATGTTATGTTAGTTTTTCTTTTTCCATTTTGATTTTGAATATATTAAATTAATTAGCTTTTGTTACAAAACTAATATGAGTATATACACTTTCTTATCATGTAAAGTGTAGAAGTGGTTGTTGGACATGGTGTGTATAGAAGATTGTTTTTGGTGGCGTAGAAGATATCTGATTTGGAAGATTGTATTGGGGATCTTATGTCATAGAACATTGTAGTAACACCCATTTGATGTATCTTAGTTTAGTCATATGTGGTTCACTAGAATATTTATTTGTGTTATATGCCCTTGATGTATTTAGAGCTTAGATTCATAAAATGTTGGTTATTGCTATTTTTTTGGAGTTTAAGGTGTTACATATTATATAAGCTTTTGTTCTGTTTTCGTTTCATTAACGTCAAGATTGTGAAGTATTAAAAGTAAACAAAAAAACATTATGTCTCATATTCTCAATAATAATCTCCTTATTGAGTTCGATGTCCATAGACAAATTGTCTAACAACATATCCTCATTTTCGTGGCCCTCGATATAATATCTCAATATAATATCTCATTGTTGTTCACTTGGACTCACAACTTATGCCTTGTCTTCCTCAAACTACTCATCTAATTCCTTACCAAAATGGTGAATGTATATAGAAGCTTGAACTCCATAACTCTACCAAGTTTCCAAAAATTATCTTGTAGTCAAGTTAATCTTTTATATAACAAAGACCATCTTTTAGATTTTCGTTAGACACAGTAATATAGTATTCTTTAGAATACACACAATGTCACTCGTTTGAGAAATGTTACATATTCATTTAAATTCAGAGAAAAGTTACACATTCACTTAAATTTATACCAACACAGTCTACATCAGTCAACATTGCGTATACCATTTGAATATTTGAAAGAGTAGCGAACAAAAACTTCTTGAAAGCTAAGATCAACTTTGTTGAATTTGGGATTTAACATGCTACAAAGAATATCAACAAATCATTTTCAAGTAAGAACCATGAGAAGAGAGAATATCATAAAATGATTCGAAAAGCCCACAAGGGTCAAAGACTAAGAAAACATTGACTGAATTTTATCGTTCTTGATATTTCTCTTCACAATGAACAAGTAATGGATTTTGACTATGAATATGGTATAAATGATATGATAAATGGTTTACAAGTAACATGATTATAGAGACGGCGAAATAATTTTTTTTTACACTTGTATTATACATTGGTCAATCTATCTACATAACATTTGCTAACTAATTATAGACTAAGAGGGGAAACCGGCTAATCCCTTCATATTTGAGTGAGTGGCTTTATGACAATCGAAGCATCTAGAATACACAAAATAAATGGACCTATTAAGCAAAAACCTAACAACAATTGGTCAGGTCAATAATGAAATTAACCTATAATAAAAAGAAAAGAAAAGGGTAGGCGCAAGGGGACCCCCTACTTAGCAAAAAACACAGTTATACCGCTAGGCCACACACTCTTATTGTTTTTAAACAACAAACCACACTTACAAACAATTAGCCGATGTCTTGCTAATTGTTAGTAATAGATAATAGATAATTATT